CTTGAACTCACAGAGATCCACCTGCCTCTGCCTCCCAATGGCTGGGATTAAAGGTGTGCGGGAGGGGGGGCAGGCAGCAAAGCCAAAGTCTTTTTCTGAAGTTGTAGGCCAGAATATGGAGCTGCGTGTCTATCCAGATTTTTAATCCATCAGTGGATTATTCCATTCATGAAGTCAGAGTCCTCATGATACAGTTATTTCCCCCAAAGTCTGTCAGGGGGCAACCAAGCCTGTGAGGGTCATTTCACATTCAAACCATACATAAGGTTTGTCTTTCAGATAATTACTGATGCTCAATATTTTGTATTTTTAAATCACTTCTGATAATGTTAGGTAAATATATTATTCTAAGTAATCTTTTATAGAAGGCCAAAAAGCAGGATAATATTTCTCTTTAAAATATTATTTGTCTTTATTTTAGAAAGCTTTCATTTGGAAGAAACAAATAAATGTGACTTTCCCCTTTCTAAAATCATTTCAACTTCTTAGATAGTGAATGTTTTATGGGTGCTTCACCTTTACACATTTGAGACACAGATAAATCTTTGATCCAGTTAATTTTTCTAACAATTATTAATTTTGTGAAATAGCCCCCTTCCTCTCAGTCTGTATTTCATTACCTGACCGTACTATATTTTACCTTCATTGTACGTACTATCTGAAATTTATTATATAAATATTGTTTGTCTGTTATAGTCTTCTTTTCATGTTTAAGTTCCATGCAAGTAGGAACTTTCTCTTGTCCACCATGTCAAAGGGATGGAGTTTTCTCTTCCCTCTTATGTTTAGTTCCTGGGGCATATAAACCAACAAAAGAATCTATGCATAACTGTATATTCTTGTGTGTATGTTAGCAAAGAAATATAACTCAACGAGATGCTTAGAATAGAGCTTACATACGATCTTAATGGGTGGGGAGGAGGCTTGAGAAGGGCAACTGTGGGAGAAAAAGGGTTTTCCAGAAGATAAATAGAATCTTAGGAGAATGGATAGGCCGTATGAGAATTTTATAATTCGTCCCTACCTTCCAAAATTATCAGAAATTAAATTGATTCTTACATTCTCAGTTAAATGAATGTATGGCTATATTTTGCTGATATTTAGTTGAGGAGCCAATATTTGAGTAGATTCCCATCTTCCCGTTCCCCTCACCATAATTTACAATTATGTTAGATTGTCTTTTCTACTAAAATTTTACTTACGTGCACCTGTTTTCATTCACTGCATACTGAAAACTCAAAATTTCTGTGATTTTCCAGTAATATTTTTCTTAAGATGATGTGATTACAAAGTATATTTTTCCACCAACTTTTTGTGTTTATAATATACATTCATAAGGCAATATAATAAAAAATCTTTCTGTAAAAAAATTATGATGCTGAACATCTTTCCTGCTCAATACCCTTTCCCTCAGAGAGAGAGAGAGAGAGAGAGAGAGAGAGAGAGAGCTGTTGAAAAATTAAACATTAGCAGTAACTTAAATTTTTTAGTATACTTATTAATCTCAGTTGAGAGAAAGATACTAAAATTTCCTTTTTCTTCCCCTTTTTCAGGCCAAAGGCAGGATTGTGGTGATGCCAGGTATGTATCTCTGTTTTTTCTCATAACACTGAAATAAAGTGTTGGAAGAGCAAATGAGTCAGAAAAACAAAGGAAAAAGTGCCAGAATATGGTACTTAGAGATAAAAATATATAGTTTGATTAAGATGTTTTAAGATTAGGTGGTCTCTGCTGAGATTTAGAAATAAAGAGCCCTCTAAGAGAAGCTGGCTCAAAGAGGAGCGATAAGGGATTTTCTCCGTGTTTGCATCTTGCCGTGTAGAGTACTGTGAACTTGAATATTCACCTTGGTGAGGCAAGGCAGTTCAGTGTTGCTGTCCTGTGATAAAGCCAAATGCTAGGCAACATGCCTGAATAAAGGGACTAGTCTGTCAGCTCAGACAGTTGTACCAACAAACTTTAGGACATAAGTCACATCTCAAAATCCAACTTCTTCATGATAAGTCAGAAGAAAGTGGGGCTAGAAGGAACATATCTCAACATAAAAAGGCTGTATATGACAAACCTACATTTGCAAAGCTCAAAGTATTTCCACTAAAATCAGTTGAGACTCAGTACTTTCAGTGAGATCACACAGCTTTTTACAGTTACCGTGGGAAAGCCCAGAATTCTTCTCTAAGTCTGACTTGTCAGCCTGTGTTCTTTCTGTTTTGTCTCATTCTGTTCTGCATTTTGTGTTGTGTTGGATTGTGTTTTGTTGTTGTTGTTCATTGTTTTATTGTTTTGTTTTGTGAGACAGGGTCTTGTTATGTAGCCCAGGCTGGTCAAACTTGAGATCATCCTGCCTCAGCCTCATGTGCTGTGGTTAAAGACATTCAGCACTGTGCCTGGCTTGTCCTTTCCACTCTGAAGAGTTCAGCAGTGTGACTGTAGCACTAACAACAACCGTAACAACAAAAGCCAAGTTAATGAGTCTGAAGAAGTATATGAAAAACAGCTTAAAGTACAAAGTACATAACTAATACTATCTTAAAATAGTTGAATATATTTTCTATATCAGAATATGATACTGAATAATTTCATATTTATAATTACTGGTATCAGTTCAGAGTATGACTGTCATAAATATTTGGCTATGTAGTTTAAACTAAATGAAATTAGGCTCGTCAGTGAAATGAAACAAGCAGTTATTCTTCGGATGAACAAGCTGGAAAGAGTTTGCTTCCTCTCGTTGCCAGTACAGTCAGTACGCTCTTCAAATCCTAGGCCAGAGCAAACCGTTACAGGTTCTCTGTTGAGGATAAGTTTCTGATGCTTTTGTAGCTTTTTCCTCGAACCTTTCTTGAACTTTCCATATATAAGTTAAGGGGAAGGCAATGATGAAGTCCTTGTCCAGAATAGTCTTTTTAAATCCAAAGTTAGTAATGCATAGCATCATGACATAAACCAATGGAGTTTCCTTTATAAGCTCTGTCCTTAAAAATTCTCCAGAGTCTGTAGCATAGGTCTTATATGTTTTCTGATCCCATTTTAGCTTAGAGACAAAAATTCTTGAATCACTGAAAATTTTTAGAATGGAGATTTTATGTAGAAGAATGATTTATCTATATTTAAATTTTATGTGATATTCTGTCCCACTTAATGTATTACTTTTTCTTTGTAACAGGAGGTGGCATAACAGATAAAAATCTGCAAAGGATCCTTGAGGGTTCAGGTGCTACGGAATTCCACTGTTCTGCTCGGTCTTCTAGAGACTCAGGAATGAAGTTTCGGTACAAATACATTCTTTATATACAGGAATTAAATATTAATGAAATTAATCTTTGCTTGCTTAAATAAGAAAACTTGCCGGGTGGAGGTGCCGCATGCCTTTAATCCCAGTACTGGGGAGGCAGAGCCAGGTGGATCTCTGTGAGTTTGAGGACAGCCTGGTCTACAGAGCAAGATCCTGGACAGACAGCAAAACTACACAGAGAAACCCTGTCTTGAAAAACAAAAAACAAACAAACAAAAAAGAAAAAAAGAAAACTTTAGTTAATGTCATTATTAAATAATGGAATGCTGTGATTAGTAAGTATTGTGATTGGTTTTTCAGTTGAAAAATATTCCTAAAATGATTGTTGTTCTTCCCGAAATAAGCAGTAACTTCAGAATATGAGTTAACCTTTATCTGGCCTTTGCTTAGTTTTGCTAGTTATAACCTTTTTTAATGGTTATGTCTAGTCTGGGTCTACTAAGAGAGAAACTTAATTCAGTGGGAATGATTTCCTAATTCAAGCACTGCTGAATATAAGCACTTAATAAATTAATTCAGCAGTAAAGGATCCAGTGAGTCAGATACTCACATGTACTCATCCTGTATGCCTTCCTTTTACAAAGTTAATAATTGGTATAAGGCAGCCTCAGTACCATTTTTATCTCTCCTGCTGTAAATAGTCTTCCTTTACCTTTGCTCTCTACTTGCAGTTGTTTTGAAATTTTATCACTGTTAAGGACTTTAAACCACTGTGTTTTTCAACATCCTAGAGGATTCCTACAACTTAATTGAATCATCTCATTTACTGGTGGGGGAGAGTTCAACATAAAAAAAGGAAGACTTTATCATGTACATTTTCAGATACAAAATCCAATTTCCTGCCTGGTAGATTTAGCTACTAGATTTTTCAAGTAATTAATCAATGAAAATTGTGAGTATAGTAGTCCAGCATCTTTGACCTTCCTTTATTCTTGAGGCATGAATTAGTCTATAAAGTGAAGGAGAGTGTATTTAACAACTGATATGATTATCTATCTGTTCTTTGTTATTTCTATTGCAGAAATTCCTCTGTTGCAATGGGAGCTTCACTTGCTCATTCAGAATATTCTCTAAAGGTAACAGATGTGACAAAAGTCAGGACTTTGAATGCTATTGCAAAGGATGTCCTCGTTTAGTTAAGGCTCCTCGGAGAGACATGGATATCAGAGTGTGCAGGCAGAATTAGGACCTTCAGTTCTCCACGTGGCCATGGAGTACGTTTCTAAGAAGAAAAAGAAATTGGACCGGCAATGCACTCATTTTCTTTGCTAGTCATTTCTGTCATCGTGGCTACATTTGGTCTGTGCTTCTTCCATGGAGAGAGGCTTAGTCAGTTTTCAGTGGAATTAACTGATAAACTGGCAAAGTTCAACTACAAGGTATGAAATCAGAGTTTGGGTTAGGATCAATTAGTACCACTTTTTTGCCTTTCATTTGTAAAATAAAAATTCTTATTCTATTGTGTTATAGTCTCCTATTCTTTCACTTAATATTTTCAGTAGCTTACTATGAAAGGAGATTGTTTGTTTTGCTTTTCTGTTTCTTTTAGTTTTTCTTTCTATCATGTACTCATTGGATTTGTTGCTCAGGGCAGGATGTAAAGGTTACAGTAAAATAGTCTAGTATAAAAATTCCCAGACTTGGACTTTTTTTCTTTCTTTTACATTCTGACATCCAAGTTGAGGCAGGGAGATGACGTGTCTTCCAATGTGAATGTTTGGATTTCTCTGGGCCTCCCAGTAGCCACAGTGAAAACGTGCTGAGAACAACGTAGGAACCAGAAATCTGCATCTCTGCTGTAGGGGTCACGGTGCTGGGTGGCACAGTGATGGCCACAGTTCAAGGCAAACCAGAGCTCGAAAGAAAGTATAGCCGGCAATGGGAACTGGAGGGAAGTCACACTGGAGCCAGGTGCAGTGGTGCATGCCTGTAATTCCAACTCCAGAGAGGCTGAAGCAGGAGGATGGCTTGAATCAGGAGTTCTGGGCTGTAGTGTACTTTGCGACCATCAGGTTGCTATAGAGGGATGAACCAGTGAAGGTCAGACAGTCATATTACTTTAAAGATAACGCAGGGATCATGGTAAATTGTTCACAATAAAGGTGAGATGAAAGGTTCTGCCATTCAGGATCAGTTGCAAGGAGTTTGCAGATTTGTGATTTAGGGTTGCAGACTGTACAGGTAGAATTGCATGATTCTGGGCATTTTGTTAAATCCCCAGACCTGGAAAGCAGGATTTAAAAGTCCCTAGAGTTAGTCAGTAATCCCAGCACTTAGGAGACCAAGGTAGAGGAATTGCCATGAGTTTGAGACCAGCCCCAGCTACAAACTGAGACCTTGTCTCAAAGATCAAATAGCAGGGCTGGAGAAATCACAGCAATTTAGAGTACTAGGTGCTCTTCCAGAGGACCCAGATTTAATTCCCAGCACCCACATGATGGCTCACAGTCATCTTTCACTAGAGTTCCAAGAGATCCAAAGCCTTCCTGTGGCCTCTTTGGACACCAGGCATGCATGTGGCACACAGACTTTCATGCAGGCAAAACACCATATACATAAAATACACACAAAAAAGCAAAAACAAGTTTTAAGACTCAGTACCATATGTGCTTTCAAAGAAATAAAATTTAGTGTTTTAGCCTGACCCTCTCCCATGCTTGGACTGTCTAATCCTCAGAGATAAGAATTGTTCTGTAGCCTCTGTTTTATTTAAATAATTTAACAAAGGATCTAAGAGGTGAGGTGAATTCCTTGAGATTTAATAACAAATCCAGGTTGTTTATAAGACCTGAACATTGGGCTCCTAACCTCCCAAGTCAAGTTGTCATCTTTAAGATGCTTTGGGTTTGTGGATTTTGTACAAAGGACAATACTCCTGGGCAAATCAGGTGTACAAGGGATCATATCTTATCTCACAATGTCATCAGAAGACAGCTAACTTTTTAAGCCTTAATTCCTTCATTCCTAAATATCCTAAGGAATAAATAAAGCATGGTTTCTGGCTAAATGATACATCAAAGTACCAGACACTCGTTGTTTCTTCTTTTCTGCCATGTTAGCTTTCTAGAATTGGTCTTTGATAGTTGAAAGCTCTTTTGGGAGGCGTAGAGTTTTGAAACCAGCACTTACTCTGTGTACTCCACGATATGAGTATAAAAAAGAAAATAATATAAGGTAACCCTTTCCTTGGTTTTTCTACATTTTAGTCCTGTTTTAAAATACTTTTTGCCATCAGGCAGTCTGGCACAGGCCTTTAATCCCAGCACTTGGAGGCAGAGACAGGCAGATCTCTGTGAGTTCCCAGACAGCCAGGGCTACACAGAGAGACCCTGTCTTGAAAATAAATAAATAAATAAATAAATAAATAAAATACTTTTTGCCTTGGTCATTATGTTTTGTCACAGCAATGGAAAAGTAACTAGTACAATAGGCTTCTAAGACAGGTCACTGGGAAATCTGTTTGTTTACAATAGTCTCAACAAATGATACTGGAAAAACTGAATATCCACATGCAAAAGGTTGGAGCTAAGGCTTTATACCATGTACAAAGATAAAAGGAGTCCTAAACCTAAATATAAGGCCAATAGCACAAACCATTCAGAAGAGAGCAGTAGTGAGTCTATGGCCATGGATTAGGCAAAGAGCACATGTGGCAAATGTAAAATAGGAACAAATTGGTCTATATCAGAATAAAAACCTTATACTCCCAAGGATAACATCAATAACAAACTAGAAGGACAGCCAGCACAGAGTGGGAGGGAATCTTGACAGTTGCGTCTGATAGTGCATAGTAGCTAGAATATATAAAAACATTAAAACTCAGTCAGGAAAACCAACCTAATTTTAAAATAGTAAATGATAAAGTTACAAATACTTCCCATCCTTTTTAGTCACTAGGGAACTGCAAATCAAAACCACAATAAATTCCCTTTTTCTATGTACAAGGATGACTGTATTCCAAGTGCTGGCAAAGATGTGGGGCAGCTAGAACCTTCAGATTCTGATAATGGGAGTGTAAAATGGTGCAGCTATTTTTGTACAACCGTCTGGGAATCATCAGAGTGTTAAACACAGATGCAGTATGACTCAGCAATTATATACCCAAAGAACTAAAAGTATATGAGTGTCTATATAAAAACTTGATACATGAATATTCATGATAATATTATCCTTTAGAGACTAATCATTTTGCAGCTCCTAATGAAATAGGAGTTAAGGATGATCTGTGTTAATGTTGATTTGGAGATAAATTTTCTGCATGGTGCTGAAATGTTGATTTACAGATTACTAGTTATTAAAACGGGAACTTGATCTTATATTTCACTATTTGGTTATAAACCACCATAACTCATCTGTCAAACTTAAGTTACAAATAGTGGAAGACCATGGAAGGAACTACTTTTGCACAGGTTGGCAAATACCTGGATTGAACCAAGGAAGACCTTCTGAAGGATAGGATTTGAGGAGTTAGACACCTGGAAAACAACTATAACAAAGTATGTAGTGGTGGCCATTGGCCAAACAGAACTGGATTATGCATTTCATTATTTTATACAAATATGCACACTAACAAAATAAAGATGAATTGCAGATTCAGCTCGTAGGGTGATAACCATCTCATTTTAGAGTTTTTTTTTTTTTCAGTGTTAGCCTCGACAAACGGAAAAATGACAATAGGAATGCCACCTTGTTCCCCTTGGTTCTGGAAAGGAGGAGTGCTGAATTGGATATGAGGTTTATTTTTTTCTTTGGGGGTTTTATTTTATTTTGTTTTAGGAGATGATAGAAATGGTTCCCAAATTGATTGTGATGATGGTTATTGTATACTTCTAAATAGGCTGAAAAATAATTTTCTCATAAAGTGATTGAATTGTATATTTCAATAAAGTTGATTTTTTTAAAGAAATATGTGAGGAAGGTTTTTTTTAATTACATTGGTCTAGAACATTTCATATCTAAAACACCAAAAAGTGATAGCATCTGTCTGAAATGGAGTAAGGAATAGATAATATGTGTGAATACACCAGTGAAAGCAAAATACTGTTTCTCATTCTCTTAATTTGTATCTCTCAGTAGTATGTTTTTGCTAAAACACAAAGAATATCCACTCCATCCTTCCCCTTGGAATGATTAAATTTAACCTTGGGTAATATCACAAATAGTTGAACCTAGACCCGCTTTCATCCCAGGCAAGCACTCTCATCACTGAGATGCACACCAGTGTTCATCTGCTTTGTGTGGGTGTTGTATAGTTTTTCACACATTTATATATAACTTATTTTCTTCTTTGACAACTTCATACATGCATATAACGTATCTGGCTACTCCCCTCTCCTCATCTCCTTCCCACAGTCATTTAACCTTCACCTCTTTGTAGATCTTACTTAATCTTGTCTTGGCTTTGTCTTGTGACTCACTGAGCTTAACCAGGAATGTCTATGTGGTCATAGGTTTCAAACTATCCACTGGAGCCTGGTGGGCTCAACTTGTGGGTATGTGACTGAAGAAGATATTGCCTTTCCTCCAGAATCTACCCAGTTGTTCACCAGATGTATGGTCCTGTGAATACTTCCTCTATCCATGATTGACTGATGACAGCCCAGTTTTGTGAAGGCCCAATAGAATCAACTTCAGTTACTGTGAGATGATTGCAATAGCTGTGTGATGCCCAGAAGGTAGCATTTTATAGGCCTTCTTCGTATCTTCCAGATCTTACATTCTTTCTGCTTTCTCTACTGTGATGTTCCTTGAGGCTCAGAAAAGGTGGTATGAATTTCCTGCTTCAGACTGAGCTCCCAGCCATCACTTAATACCCAATGCCTTGAGCAGCCATGAGTCTGCCTCAGTGCAGTTCATTGCCAGGCATCATAGTGGTCTAAGGGTATAAACATAAAATAGTTAGAAGTCAGTTTGGTGACATATCACTTTAGCTAAATAGTAGTTAAGTTTCCTCTTAAAGCCTGAGAGCTCATCAGCTGGTTTTTTTTGGGGGGGTGGGGGCGGTTCTTGTTTTGTTTTGACTGAGTTTACAGTACCAGGCATGAATTCCCTCCTGTAGACTGGGCCTCAAATCAAAGCAGAGAAGTTAACTACTGCTCTAACAGCCGTGCCAGTTTTGTGCCTGTGGTACTTCTTGCCTGACAAGTTAGTGTAATAACTAGGGTTCACAGCTAGGTAGGATCCATTGATGCCTGTTTTTGCCCCAACAGCAGCCTACATAGCAACTTTCAAGAGTCTTGGAACTTAACAATCCCAAGTCACCTGAGTAACAGTGACTACAGGCCTACGTCACCAAATTTGGCAGGGACCATATTTAAATAACAACTGCAAATGTAATACATTCAGTAACATACAACATTTCATTTGTGTTGTAGATCTTTTGGACTTCATCTTGGGACCGCCAGCTTCCAAATAATTACACAGAGGCTATTATTAGTTATGAAAGCTTGGCCTTAGCGTAGGCT